ATATATATATATATATATATATATATATATATATATATATGTATATATATATGAAACATTAAAACTTTAGCAATTTGAAAACATTTGCACATTTATAATCATCATTTAAATTAACTTAATAATAATTATATAATTTTGTTTCTTAATAATCTAACAAAATAATGTATGTTGAGTCTTTTAACTCAATTTGGCAGGAAAGACAATATAAGCACATTCTATCAAGATGCAAAAGTCGAAATATTAGTCTCTGTTAGACTTTAAGAAAAACAAAACTATTCTAAAGTGTATATAATTGTATAGTAATATTATTTGGTTTATAGGGTTCAACTATAGATCCATCGAGGGAACATCAAGCTGGCCAAAATGTCTTATTATACAAGCTACAGCCAAAAATTTCGCCAGTGGGTTCAATAGCTTCCCAACGACCTCTGAGTCAACTGAGTTCACATAATATTAATAAATATTCTCAGGCATATATGTCTGAGAATCCATCTAATCTCCAATCACATTTGAAAAAGCCGATGGAAACATCCCAATCAATGCATAACTTATCAAAGCCTAACATACCGTCTGCAGTATCAGGAACTAGTTCTACTCCAGATCAAAATCAGAATTTGAAAAGTGCTGTTTCCTCAGGGAACTTAGCAGTTAGTGCAAGTTCGAATAATACCAATAAACAAACGGAGCAGAGACTTACGCATGAACAGTTTCGGGCTGCTTTACAAATGGTGGTATGTGTAAAATTTATATTAATATCAAATTTATTTGTTACATAATAGAGTATATTACAATTAATCATGATATAATTTTTTTATGTAAAAAAATATCTTCAAAATATCTTTATTTTTTACAATATATATTCTATAGATGAATAGTTCTAATTCAATTATATTAGTGCTATTATGAGTTGCAATTGAATGAAATAAACAAGTTTGCAGTCTAGAATTTTAACTTTCGCAATGGTGCTTATTCATCTTTATATTTAGGTAAGCCAAGGTGATCCAAGAGAAAATTTGGAGAATTTCTTGAAGATTGGTGAAGGCAGCACAGGAACTGTATGCATAGCTACAGATAAGAGTACAAACCGTCAGGTTGCAGTCAAGAAAATGGATTTAAGGAAACAACAGAGACGCGAATTACTTTTTAACGAAGTCGTTATTATGAGAGACTACCATCATCCAAATATAGTTGAGATGTATAATAGTTTCTTGGTAGACGATGAATTATGGGTCGTTATGGAATATCTAGAGGGTGGTGCGCTAACCGATATTGTAACACATTCAAGAATGGATGAGAGTCAGATAGCTACAGTGTGTTCTCAGTGTCTTAAGCCACTGGCATATTTACACTCGCAAGGTGTTATACACAGGGACATTAAGTCTGATTCAATATTACTTACGGCGGATGGCAGAGTAAAGCTATCAGATTTTGGCTTCTGTGCTCAAGTTTCTCAAGAATTACCAAAGCGAAAGTCTCTCGTAGGAACTCCGTACTGGATGAGTCCTGAAGTTATTTCAAGGTGTTCTATATCTGCTTTTTTTAAATTACGTAATACAAATTATAAAATTTATGCTTTGTTATTCAAATTATTGTAGAAAAAGTAAATTACAGATGTGTAATAAGAATAATAGATATATGAATTATATGAGAAATGTACTTTTTCTATTTATTTTTTAATTTTTTTGTAAAATCTTGCATTTTTTCAAAAAATTTAGAATAAAATATTTTAATATTTGGAATGTGATGTATCTCAAATATCTTAATTATTTCAATTTTTTGGCAAATAATTAAAATGATTGTTTCATTTTCAATTATAGGTTGCCATATGGACCTGAAGTGGATATCTGGTCGTTAGGAATAATGATTATTGAAATGATCGACGGTGAGCCACCATTTTTCAATGAACCACCTCTACAAGCTATGAGACGAATCAGAGATATGCCACCACCAAAACTAAAAAATTTTCATAAAGTAAGATCATTTACATTTCTTATTAATTTGGCACAAATATTAGAATTATCATATCAGCAGACAACTGTATATTCCAAATTCAAAAAGTGAGCAAAATATTTTCTTTATGTTCAGGTTAGTCCACGTCTTCAAGGCTTCCTTGAGCGAATGCTCGTACGTGATCCAGCGCAACGAGCCACGGCAGCTGAATTATTACAACATCCATTCCTTAGGCAAGCTCAAAGTCCTAGTATCTTGATTCCATTAATGAGAGGCGCCAGACATACAAATTGTTAACGAGATTACATCTTCGTAAGCTAGAATGTTAGTCAAAGCAGACATTTTATTACTAGAATATTCTCAACAATATCGTGTTGAACTACTTATTCTCTGAGGGCAGCTTTTGGCAATTTGTGAATTATTTCAATTCTGCCATCCTCATATAGAGAGTTTCTAAGTTTTTATCTTTTTTTTGCGATAGACATGACCGATTGAATAATGAAATATTCATAAAAATTCTCATACGTATGAATTTGGAGTATCATATAATATTGACACTTGAGGATTTTTAATTTTAAAAGTATTGAAATCGGCATCATTTTCTGAAACCAAAGAGAATAATGTTATTCCATTATTCACAATTTTTAGGTTTCTATATAAATCTTCGAATCTTAATATATATATATATAAGCGAATCCTTTTGGTCATGTCTAATATACATATGTAATATATGAAAAAAAATTTATAGCTATACTTTAGAAAATATTAAATAAGAAAGTCCGAGTCATAATCATTACCAATTATTATTCGAATTATGACATTCCAATCGGGCCGAAGCTTGTAAGTATTATTTTGAAAATAGTTTACTACATTCCAGAGTATTGTTTTATATGTATTATTTTAATAATTTGACAAGGCTGCGTTTTTAAAATACAATATAACATTATTCTTCAACTATTGGCACTGCCAATGTTTGATTCACAGTTGTAAAATCAAACATTGTTTTAATGTTATAACGGATAATTATAATTTTGAAATATTTATATACATAAAATACGTATTCACCAAGTGCCTTTATAGTTAGCACTATTGCAACGATTAACTTGTCATTATAAAACACTATTTATTATTAGTATTAATGGGCTTTAGATATCAAATCATTTATTGTATTATATTATTCAAAACGCAGATCTATATATAAGAAATAAATACATATATACAAGATGTCCGGTAGTAATCGGATTATTTTTCGAGAACAAGTAAAATGGGATACGCTGAGTTGAAGAGTCCTATACTACTTTGTAATAGTTAATGAGATATTAATTATTAAAAATCGCCAAATAAGCACGTATTCACTCCTATCGCTAAATGCAAGCGTGTGGCAAGAAATAATCGCCCAATGTGAGGGGAAATGTTTTCTTTGCCTCATTGCAGCTTGTAGTACTCTTAGCATATTTAATAATCTACGATGTTGAGCGGTCGAACTCGTCGCACAGATGCATTTGACGATAGGCACCAGGCGGATTTATTCCATGATCTTCAGTAATTAATTTCTTGTTAACTATTGCGAAAATTGCAAAATGATATAGGATCTTCCGACTCAGTTTAATCTGCTGTACTTATTTACAAAAAATAATCTGTTCATTATCGACTATTCTATATACATAATAATTTTTATTATTTTAAATGTTAGTTTTGATATTTAAATTTAACTTTTAAAGGCAGATTTTTTTTTATAAACTTTTCTTTTTAAATAATAATTCAAAATAATTTGAATCTGTATATTTATAATCGAATCGATTCAAATTTCTTACAAAGGAAATTTGAATGCCCATTACTACTTGTATAGAATGTTCCACTCAAGCAATATTTTACTATCTTACTAAATTTATCAAAAGCCATAGTTAAAATAATTTAATCAGTAGACTTAATTTTATTTTTCTAAATGACATCATATTAGATATACGTTCCAATCATATCATTATATATTCATTCCATTTGTAAACTTTTCTTAATACTATATTTTCGATTTGTCAATAAGAGTTAACATTCGATTATTTAGAACTTTAGATATTGAGATATATTTAATTGTTACTTGAATTATAATATTGAAATAACTTGGCAACAGTATTACGAAGAACGTCCAGAAAGTAATGTAACAAATCTTTTTTATTCGTAATTTATTATTATTATTAATATTACTATTAATAGTAATAATATAGTATTTTTCTAGTAATAGTAGTAGCACTAATATCTTTTCGTTTCTCTCAGGATTAGAGTGACTTTTGTTTCCTTAGCTAACTTTTTCTAATTTATACTCTAAGTTACAAATTTATGATTAATTTCGTTGTTAAATTTGTAAGACGAAATAGTAACGAACATATCTTTTGATATAATCCCTAATTGGCCTTGATACTTATATATTATTATTGGACCGATGATCTACTAAGTGATTAAAAATGGGCCTGTTCCGTTTACTTCTGATGTGTTGCAAAATATATTGACAAATATATTGACTAAAAACTTATAATTTGTATATGCATTACAATTAAATTACATAATTTAGATAATCTATAGTGAATATCTTTTCAGTAATCAGTATATTTTGGAATGCAGCATGTTCTTCTCAACTCTAAATTTCATTTTAGCACCATTTTAAATGTTCGTTATTAAAACATACTATTCATTACAATCAATCCAGAAAATTCTGTGACATATTCTGCTATACTGCGATTAAATATTTTAACTCGTTGCTTCTAAATGTTAGATCTTCTTTATTTTCCTAATTTCAACTATCGCTCGATTTCTATCTCTCTTTTCATAGTTTATATGATCTTTACAAGTTATTTTTTACTATTATTTTATTTCTTTACTACACTTTTCTTATTTCTATTTTCATTGTATTCTTATTCTTATTTTATTACAATCGGTTATCACAACAACAGTATTGTTGACGTCTCATACACGTATTTTTTCTTACTTTTGTGTATACTTATTGGTCTTGTAAAATATCAAATTTATACGTTTAATTGTAATAAAGTTATTATTATGATGTTATATATTATTAGCAACACATTATTCGCGTTATTTACTTCCTTAAGATATTATTTTTATCTAATAACATTTGAATTGGAAGAATAAACCTGTTGCATTACTTTCCGGGTATACTCTTTGTAAAATGTACTATTCATAGAAAAAAAAATATCAAAAAGAAATATCAAGATTATTAAAACAAAAATTAAATAATATTGCTTTTGTATGACAAATATATATAATATATTTAAATATTATAGAGGAGAAAAAGAGAAAGAGAGAGATATGATATATATGTGTGCATAGAAAATTTTATTCATGATACAATTTCGTACTTGAAAATTAAAAATTTAACATAGATATTTTTAGATTATTTTGTAACAGTTTGTCACAATTGATAAAATAGTTGATATAATATTCTTAATGAAAGATATGTGATATTTTTATTACAAATGTTATACGAGTTATACATCGTAATGTTTACTTTATGTAAACTAATAAATATTTAAATAATAGAAATGAAAAGTAATTACATGCAGTAAGATATTAAATGACGAAAATATTTCCAAAAATAATTTACATTATACTGAATTAAATATATATTTTATTACATAGCACTACATCGATGAATTTATACAACTAAACTGCTGCACCTAATTATCTTATTGTTTAAATCAGTACTATTCGAACAGGGTTATGTTATATTATTTTAAGACAAATAACCTGAATAAATGTGAAATATGTATGTAGATCCATATATATGGAAGTATACAAAAATGCTTAATTTTGATAGGGATTTATTATACTTTTAGATATGTCATTAATGTATGTAAAAAAGGTCAGGAATATTGCAAAGTGACAAAAGGCGTGATTTTGTAATAGCTAATAACTTATGTATATTTAAGATGTATATTTTTTCATTATATTATATTTTTTGTACACTCGAGATTATTGCATAATTTAATTTGAAATTTGTGCATCTTCCAATTTCTATTGCAGTTTAATTTACGCATGATTAAGGAACGTTACATATATATTTGATGATTACGCATCGGACTATTCATATTGTATTTTCAACCATATAATCTTTTCAGTTATGAACAGTGGCGGGATTTGGTATTTGCGGCAATGAGCTTTCGAGTTCCTAACGCCTAATAATAATAATAATAATAATAATAATCTTTTTATTAATTGAAATTATTACATAACGTTTATTAAAAGGAACATGTGATATATCAAAATCATAGATTATGAGAATAGCTAAATAATAAATGAAAGTTTTTTTTTTTGAGGATGTTTAAAACTGCTTTTATTGTTTACAGTTAATATGTCAAACAGATTTGTCCATATTCGCCATATATTTCTATTACATTATAAAATTGTAAGGAAGCTAATAGAAAATCTACTATATTTTACATTATGTTATAGATTAAAAATTATTCTGTATATAATAGAAATTCGAATTTTTTACAGTGTGATCTGATCAAACAAACATATTGACAAACTTGTATGTGTAATATCCAAAAATTGATGGCGTACATGTGCAGGATTTTACATATTGTAAATTTATTACGTATAATAAAGAATTTATTTACAAAACTCATTAATGTGAATAAGCTTTTAAGGTTTTTTGCAAATTTTTAGCTCATACTAATTTTTGAAATAATATTTATTCGAAAAAAGTTTATAAATATTAAAATTCAGAGTTTGTATCGTAAATGTATTTTAAAAGAATAAATATTCTTTTAAGCATTCATTTTTGATATGAATAAGGCAATAAAATAATATACGATAATTAGCATATACAAGTAATACGATCTTCATTTTTATTGATTAAATTAACAATTGACGAAAATTAAAATATAGGATTTTGTGTAAAAAAAAATGTATTCTTAAAATATAGTTGCTTTTTTCATATCTTTTATATATTTTCGCTACGTATTTTTACCTCGTATATGATTATACTTTGAGCACAATTATAATGTTATCGATGCACATTTTATCAGCTGTACGGTAAAATAAAATATTTGCCTTATTACTATACGTAATCGACCTTAAGAAATATTTATTATTATGAACTATTTAAAAGAAAAACTCAAGAAAATAAAAAAAATAAAAAATATTAAAATTAAGGCTTCTGTTCACTCAACATTACTGACCATCACTATCCATAATGATGAGTGAATAGAAGTTTTAAAAACCAAAAATATCGAAAATATCGAATGAGAAGAACATAGTCTCCATTTACAGAGTGACAATAAGAAAGAAATAATAAATTTAAACCATAAAATTTTTAAATATATTAATAAGAAGGAAAACTGCTCAATGTGTGTGTGTGTTACAATATAATAGACCATAAATAATTTGCAATATCAATATATTTGTTAACATTAATTTTTTGAAATATTTTTGTTTCTAAGACTTTCGAAACATTAATACAAATGTTAAATA